ATTTTGTTCTAGATAGATTAAATTAGAACGATTAGCGTTCTAGATAAAATATAATAAGTATAAAACCATCAAAGTAATTGGCATAAAAAGACCTGCCTCCTTTACTGACACTTTTGAAAAATTAAATAACTGTTTTAGGTACTCTGAATAAAGCTATTTTGTCAAATATTAAGGTAAACAATCTTAATACATTTATTTAATTGTAATATAGATATAAGTATAAATTACAAATTATTTAAAAATAATTATATTAAAGAATTATAAACAATGTAAAATTTACAATTAGGCAAAAAATCAAACGTAGGTTAGCAGAAATGTTGCCATATATGTCATATATGTTTAAACCTATGTCAATGTAAAGTTGTTTTTTGAGTAAATTTAAATAGCTGCTATTATAGTTATCTTAGAAGCAGCATAAAAATTCTCTCAATTAGCATGCAAATAAAGAAATGATTAGAAATAAACGTGTATTAAAAAAAAAACCTGCAAATAAAATAAAAAAAAAACCACGGAACTTTATGTTAAAAGAGTAGCACATTTTATCTATTATTTTTAAAATTGAGTAAGCATTATTAAATTTTTTTTAATGGTTCAGTCTAAAAATGCATAAAGCAGTAACATTGTCTCTTCCAAATTATAGCTATCTTTCACACACAGCTCATTTTAAACGCTGGTTCAAAAACGCTAATTTCCAAGCTGTGAATTATATTGGCGCGCTCAGTGTCATCATGGCTACGTCATCACTTCTCACTTTCTGCTTCAGGGAAAAAAGCTCTATGAGCTAGCCCTTCTCTTCTAAGTCCTGTAGTTGCATACTGATCATCTTCCACATGTCCTCGCAGGCGGGCCTCATCAACATCACTATAAGCGGTCAGAGCGCTCTGCTTCTTGAATGTCAGTTTGTTTTAATCAGAGGTCTCATTTCGCGCTCTAACCCACCAGCGGCCGAGCGGTAAAATCGCTGAACACTGGTAGTTCGGTCCGAGGTTCGAATCCCGCGAACGGTCAGGCTGCATGGGCGTTTTCGTCCTTGTTTTTTTAAACTTTTTCCGTACCCAACTTTCACACTGTCATATGATACAACATTAGTACCTAAAGCTGTACTCATCATTCGGTGACATCATGTAATTGAATTTTTGCAACGAAACTGGAAGTAAAGGATGGTTCTAATCTGGTAGCATGATGTTTCACTTCCTATACCCTGTACTTAATGATAACGATTTTTTTTTTTTTTTTTTTTTTTTCAAATTTCACATTACAGTGTTCTGAAGTAAGTCTCATTCTTTCAAATGCCAAAAGTCGTTTGACAAAATATGATTAAACACGCTAATGTGAACTGTTTGCGCAGACGATATTTGCGGTGTAGGGAAAATTTCGTTAAAAATCCGATAAGTTAAAAAATACAATGAAATCATTCATAATGTTGCAGGTAAAAACAAAGTTTTTTTTTTTAATTTGCAGACGCAAACTTTTCCTAAGAATATTATAATTATGTAATATTATAATCATGTAATATTATATATTTTAATATTTCACTTAGAACTTCGTTTTTATTTATTATTTTAAATTTTGTTATTAAGTCATGTTTAAAAAAGTAATTGTTGTCTTCTTTTTTTGTACATAACAGTAGTATACAGTGTGTTTTTTTTTTTTTTTGCTTCATAATAGTTTTAATGATGAATCAAGTGATTGTTGACCAACATGTGATTTTTGCACTTTATGCGAGCTACAGTGTCTCAAAAAAGTGATGGGACACTTGTGCTTTACAAAAGGAAACTGTAATAAAATAAATTTAAAAAACATGTAAAATTTTTTTGTGGGTGTGTTTCATACTTAAATTTAGTAACAATTATTACATAACATAGATTTTCTCAAATATTAAAATATTAATTTAATAAAAATACAATTGTTTAGAACGGAGCAAAAAAATGGCTCACATAAATGATGGGACACTTACTTTTCCATCAATATTTATCCAAAAAGTTTACTTTTTAAAAGGTTTAATATTTTGTTGGATTCCTTTTACTTTTAAAACAAGATTTAATCTTCTGGGAAAATGGATTCGATTAATTTTTTTTTTTTGTGTGTGATTTCTGGAGTGATTTTACCCCATTCGTCTTGAAGCACCGATTTTAATTGTTGTTTTGAAGAAATGGTGTGTTTGCGAATTCTTGATTCCAATTCTTGCCAAATATTCTCTATGGGATTTAAGTCTGGAGATTGTGGTGGTGTTTTTATTACTTCAGAACAGTTATACAGCAGCCAGAGTCAAAGCAGTGTTCAAAGCAGTGTGCGTGGGGTCATTGTACTGGTAGAATTTAAAATCGTTATGAAGGTTCAATTTTCGCGCTGAAGATTTCAAATTTTGATTTAAAATGTCAATATTAATTCATTTTACTACTGATTAGTGAACGTACTGATTCATTTTACTGTCAACGTACTGATTCATTTTACTGTCAATAAAAACAAGAGTACCAACTCCAGCGGACGAATACACCCCCCATACAATAACTTCTCCTCCACATGTTTTAACTGTTGGCACCAAGTTCTGTTTTCGAATTCTCCTGGGTTTTCTCCACACCAAGATTCACCGTCAGAACCAAATATATTAAATTTACTTTCATCAGGAAAATATAACTTCATTCCAGTAATCAGAATTCCTATTTATGTTGGATTTTGCGAAAGCCAGTCTGAGTTGTCTATTCTTTTCACTCAACGAAGAATTTTTTCCTGGCTGCTCTACCGTGATATCCAGCATATCTAATTACTCTTATAATAGTCTCAGGATTAACAATTACTCCATATAATGCTTGTAAATCAGACAGCAACTATAGGAGCACTCATTCTTGGAGTTTTTTTTTAAATATTTCCAACGATAATTCGCTTTATTCCTTTGGATAGCTTTGATGGTCGGCGAGGTCTTCTGTTATCCTGAATCATATGATCCTTTTTATATCGTTTAATGATATTGTAAACTGTTGAATGACTCAAGTTAATTGTTTCAGGAGTTTCTCTAATAGATTTTTCACGTTCCATATGCAAATTAATAACTAATTTTCGAATTTCAGGCAAAGTTTCTTTTCGTTTAGCATTCATGGCTGCACAGAGCTAAAAAAACACAAAAATTCCAAAACAAACTGGAGAGAAATACTGCAAACGATTTTATAAATTATTGCCAATTGCTTTTGAGTAAAAAATAAAAACCCCAAAAAATATTTTTATTGTAGTACGTAGTAGTATCTAATGGTGTCCCATCACTTATGTGAGCCATTTTTGCTCCGTTTAAAGAATTATATTTTTATTAAATTAATATTTAATATTTTGAGAAAATGTATGTTATGTAATAAGTGTTACTAAATTAAGTATGAACACACCCACAAAAATTTTTACATGTTTTTTTAAATTTATTTTATTACAGTTTCCTTTTGTAAAGAAAAGTGTCCCATCACTTTTTTGAGACACTGTAGGTACAATATTTATTAATTAATTATAATTAAATTCTTTATGAATTAAGAACATTTGTTTCTTAAATTTTTTAGGCTCTTTTAAAACGAAGAATAAACAGATAGTGCTCATTATGTAAAAAGACGTCACCGATGCCTCTGTCCGTGACATGAAAATACCTTAGTACGCCCCTGCATGTCTAGTACCTGTATTTCCGTAAATAATAATCTCAGTTTTCCAATACACTAACAATTTGTGTATATGCGCATTTCAGGTATGAAGTTTAAGTATTATCTCCAAAGATTTATAAAAGTGCTTTTATTAAGCTAGAACTCAAAAATGTTCTTCCAAGCAGGTTTGACAAGTTTCTTGCTTTTAAAAGGCATTATTCAGTCTTCGTGTTGAAAATTGTCAATGAAATCCTTTAACAAAAGGAAATCACGCGATTCTCTCGGTTTACTTCCCTCTGGTAATAGCGTCCCAAATTTACAAAGGTGACAAACAATCACGTGGTGATTTCAACTCAGAAGTTCAAGTTCTGATGACATTAATGCTGCGCTGCGCTCATAATTACGTCATTTCTCGCCAAAGCACGCCAACAGTCGGAAATCGAAGACTTCAGCAACAAGTTAAGGCACTTTTCAGCCCGGAATCCTTTTGCGGAAGGATAACTTTTGGGAAATGGGGCTACACACATTTTTTAAGAAATGCATACACAAAACTTTTCAGCTACTGTGAATTTGAAATTATGCACAAATTAAACATTTATTAATCTTCCTATTAACTTACATAAATTACTTCGTTTTATTTATGTCATAATTTTCTTCTTTTTATTACTGCTTGAGTGAAACTGACTTGATCTATTTTGTCTCGGGAGCGTAGCGTACATTCATAATTTGCTACAAATTAACGTTCTCAGAAAATTCATATAGAATATTCAAGTTGAAATAATTTCATATGAACATCTTTGTAATTATGTTTATGAATGGGAGCAAATTCTGATATTTCCAAATGAGGACATATAAAAAAAAAATCACATAGAATTCTCATTCACCTTCGTCCTAACTATAATTTTCGTCTGACTGAAACGCAAAAATATAACAAGTAAAAAAAAAAAAAAAAAAAAAAAAAAGCTAAACATAATTGAATTCTATTAATGAATGCAAATTAATATAAAATTTTTGAGCGGAAAAGGGAAAAGAGGATTGTACAGGAAAATGAAATTCTAAAATTCTTCACACTGATAAAAACTTCTGAATCTTTTGAAGTGTCTTATTTTTTCTTTAATTTAAGAACTACGTTACTCGAGACAAATGGCTATTTCATTAGTCTGCGTTTAAAGTAATAACTCTATGAAGGCAACGAATCTTATTGATGTTATGGTTAAAACTTCTTGTACGGGATACCGTCTTTTAAGGGTAAACAGGATAGTTTTAAAACTATCGTGACGTTTTATTTTAGCACAATTAGGGTGATAAATCTTATCATCTGTCAGCCTTCTCCAAGTAACCCTCTTTGAGAAACACCCAGAAAAGATTTCGCGTCATTTGAATACGTTAACATCTGACTTTCTGAGTGTAATGCGCATTGGTTGCACTTTGAACTCAAAAATTGCCATTCTGAGCTATATATACTGTTATTTTGATAGTTCTCTCTCTTTTTGATCGATTAAATTACTCTTGTACAAGAGACTCATAAAATCGTAAGTTTGTTTGGAATTTAGTTTTCGAAAGTTTCCGTGCCAGTTTGTTGACGTGTATCATGTGCTGTGCATTTTTCCGTATTTTAAATACCCTTTTTTAATCGAATATTAAAGTTATTGTGTGTACTGAAGTTTAAACTCGTATTTAAGATTTTCACGAGATTTTTAAAGTGGAATTATAGCTAAATTCTTCATTACTGTTAATAGTAGTTTTTAATATTGGTTTTTAACATTAAAGTGTCTTGAAGAGTAATGAGTTTCATTTAACCTGCCATTGCTCGCAGTTGGAAACTTTTTATGCTAAAAATTTATTAGTGAGATGTAACAAGTAAATAAATTATAGTTTATATATTGACGAGCAAAATTGACTGTACTGAAAAACTTTGTTGTGGATGTGTAAAGGAGGTTAAAAATTAAATATACGTGTTTAGGAAGAGTTCGTTTTAAAGTCGCTAAAAAGTATCACTACTCATTTTATCAAAATGTTGCATAGGCTAATGCTACGTGGCTGCATAGTACTGGGTGAAGAAATTATATATTAACCTTAAATAGTCTTGTACTAACTTTACAGTAGATTCAGTAAATGTAGAGAAAACTCGCGGTTGTTTTGAAACGGGAAAAATTAAGACATTCACCTCCATTGGAATGCTTTGTTTAAAATTGGTATGAATTCAGGGTCTTAATTAATAATAAAGGTGTACTTAATATTTACTACATTCTAATATGGAGAATAGATTAAATATATTTATTTTCAGTTAAGAAAATTAGTTTCAGTGAGAAATGTATCTTTAATATTTTCTGATTTTTTAGAAGCAAAATGACGAATCCTGAAGTTGAATCTGCTGCTATAAACACATCTTCAAAATCTGAGGAGGTTCCAGCATCTACCGAGAGTACTTCTACGGAGGGTACAATAAAAAGTGAATTTCTGGAGAGAGTATCTGAAATACCAGCAGTATCTGCTGCTAAAGACTATGGCACAGCTGCTTATAATCAGGTCAAACAGTATAATAGATTTACAGCTGCTGCATTAAGTGCTGCTGAAACAGCTGCACTGTATTTTGCTGTGACTGCAAAGCCATTTTTGGAAAAAATCCAGCCACAAGGTATATTTTATTTCATAAGCTCACTTTATTAACTGTTTATGTATAATTCATCTACTGAATTATTTTTACAAAGTCTGTCTTAATAGTACTTCATGCAAAGATTTTTCAGATTCATGTAGAGCATATTTGCTGAGCCTGATTAAAATCACCTTTTCTACAAAGATATATTAAAAATTGAATATTTACTATATTTATGGTAAATTATAAGTTTAGAGTGTACAACTCAAAAAGGTGGATTAATTTCTTGAAAAATTTAGGCTACTTGCTTTGTAATCTTGCAGTTATCAAGACAAATTCGTACAGTATAGTAAACTTAGCTCTTTTCATAACATGAAGAGCAAATGGTAGAATACTACAGCATCTGATAAATGCTGACTGCATTAAATTTCCAAGGCAGTGTGATGGGCTTTGCTGTTCTAGATATCAGCTGTATTTAATTTGTCTAATTTTTAAATTTTTTTTTTTTTTTTTAATTCACCTAGCCATCTGTTAATTAACAGAATTTAAGGAAAACAGTGTTTAAGCTTAACTGTTTAGGAAACTTAGTTGTTGTCCATATGTTTTGGATTCGGTTTTTACCAATTTTGTTTCATCTAATTGGAGTAAAAAGCGAGAGGAATGTTATGTATGCTATATTTATTAGTTAACCCTAGTTTAACTTCTCATGTATGTCTTCTCTCAATCTGCGCTCTGTAAAACTTGCTAAAAATGCAGCTTCCTTGCACATTACATCAATATGGAATTGTTCTCCTTTTGAAGTGCCAGTATCTGTAGCTTTTATATATATATTCATTAATGAATCGATTTATATGTATTTATAAATGTAATCTCTAGAATGGCTAAGTAATTAACAAATATTAATTTCTTTCATGAAAAATTTATAATAAATTATATTTAAGTTTTCATTAAAATAAATTATTGTAATAATTTGTATTTAAATAATTAAAGTGAATAATAAGATCTAAAGAATAAAATTTTTTCACTCAACTTAAATCAATAAATGGTATGAAAAAAGTTGATAATAAGACATGAATTTGGGGAGGGGGGACATAGGCCACTCTATATTATCAGAAGGCAGAATTTATATCAGCCTGTAATTAGCGATACATTTGTGAAGTTGAAACAGGATTATCTCGCTTGAACTTTGGGATGTATCATTTTTAACACCAGAGGTATCTTCATTATTTTTTATATTTTTTTTTTTTTTAAACTTTGAAAGTGATTTAGGTCTCTTTGAGCATGAGAACCCTTGCATTTGCAACTTGCCGAACCGTATAGATTAGCCTCTACATGCAAGATAGTTTTTATATTGTAAATCAAATTATTAGATGAAGTAAAGACAAAATTATAATATTTTATTAAATTAACAAATCAAAGTTATAATATTTTGTTAAATACCCATATGTATCACACCCTTTATTCTAATCTTTTGAAATCGTATCTGCCGAATTTTCGTAAAACAGACCAGTTTCATGTAATTGAATACAACTGTACCAAGATTTCTGTTTTATTAATAATGAAATAAAATTACTGTTGACTGTTATAATTCATATCAATGTAGAAATAAAGATGAAGTTTTGTGATAAAATTACCTTTTTAAAAATTAGCAGTTCATTTTAAAAGCAGTAATTTATTAATATTCAGCTGTTTCCAGTTTATATCAAATTTATCTCTTTCTGTATGTCAGTTTTGTCAAATATTTTCTTTGAAATTTTTTTGCATTATCTATCTAAAAATATCTTAATTCCTCTACTTTTTTAGCTCAGTTGGTAGATACCTTAGCTTGTAAAGGTTTAGATACTGTTGAAGAAAAGGTGCCATTTCTTATGAAACCACCTGAGGAGCTTGTTGAAGATGCAAGAAAGTTATGTTATTCAACTGTTGACAAGGGATATCAGAAGGTAGAAGAAATCAAAACTTTGGGAACAGAAACGTTGTCTTCGGTTAAAAATTATGGACTTCAAAAAGCAAATGATGCTTTGACTGGAACTGAATCTTTAGTTGAGAGATACCTTCCACCAGCATTTGGAGAAGGTAAATTAATCAGTGTATCATTTTATTAAAGGAAAAAAGAGGGCTGATATTTCAACTTAATTATGAATTAGTCTTCTAATGGTAATTTAAATTTTTACTCTAATCTTGAATTGAGGAATTGTTGTTTTAAAATTAATCGTAAGGTGAAGCTTTAATCAACATTAATGTGTTGGGCTGAATATAAAATGGCCATTCTGCACTTTTGGAGGTGTATTAACAAGGGGAATTGAGCTTGTGAGGTTAATATGTTGAATACTTTCATGGGAAAAACTAAATGTCCTAAAAATCATACTTTGAGATTTATCACAAGTAAATATTTTATGTAAATAGTGTGGTAATGTACTATGTATATATTTATATATATCGGTGATGTATTATCACTAAAGGAAAAAAGGGGGCTGTGATGAAAGATGAACAGGAGTTTTTTAAAGAAGATTAAAAAAAAAATTAACAATTTGCTTAAATTTTATAACTTTTAAGTTTCATAAACTTAAGAGTAGATGTAAAAAATAACCATTTGATTTTGCTTAGAAAAATATTATCGCTACTATTATTGCTTCAGATCTTCCAATTGTAATGTACATGTGACAGGAAAAATATTTACATTAATATACCTATAAACTGTGTATAATTGATCACATTTGCAAAAGAAAGTTTTTCATCATTATAAAATTTTTAAATCTTTTAAAAGTGGCTGAGAATGTAAATGGAAATGAATGTAGAAAACTATTAAACGAAACTGTATTTTAATCATTTTCAACTAAGTTTTAAGCATTTAATTTTTTTTCATATATAAAAGATCTTAAAATAATGAAATTCTTAATTATTGCAGAACATTCAGTATTTTGCAAGAAATAATTTATAAAATTTTTATATATTTTTTGGAATTTCTGTATTTAAATTACTTTTGTTTAATTTTTATTTTGTTAAGTTGATAACTTTCTTAGTTTGAAAATTTAATGGAGTTATTTATGCTTATTTTCTGCACAGCTTTTTTATGCTATAAAAATTTTGTATTTTGTATTAAAATTTTACTTATTTTTATTTTGTACATTGTTAAACAATACATATTTAACTAATACAAATTTTCTGTAAATTTTCAGATTAAAAAACTTTTTATTTTTCCATTTCTAAAGTCATAATTTTTTATAAGGTTCTCATGAAGCAGAAGATGACAGTAAATCTGTGCCTGAAAGAGCTAGCAAATTAACAAGCAAAATTGGTCTTCGTATTTATGGTCATGGAATCAAACAGCTGCTACCTGTACACAAATTGAGTCAAGAGTCTGTTGCAAAACTGTTATATACTGTTGAATTGGTAAGAGTTCTGTTATATTAAACACTTTCAGAACTACAGTATTTTTCTCATTTTGCATCTGCTAAACCTTTAGAAGTATGCATTTTTTATCTACTAAACCAATAAAAATCTATATTAAATAGCAGCAGAATTTTCATTGCCTGGTCTTTAAAATATGTTGCGATTCTTTAAAAATTCATAGTTGACTAACTGTGAGCTTAGAACTTTGTTTGCATCTTAGATGAAAACTTAGAACTGCGACCTTCTGAACTTGGTTTATTGCATTCAAAATTCGTAACATTTTTTAAAAGATGGATTATATTGTTTTTTTTTTTTTTTTTTTTTTTTTTTAATATAATGAAATAGCAAAATTTTTTGCTTTGCTCAAAATAAGTAAACTTGATTTAGAAAGTAATGCTTGTGAAAATAGTAATATTTTATTGTATAATATATTAGTGTAATTTCATATTGATGTAAAGTTTCAGGCTAATAAACACTACAGCATCTGACATGGTTTGTTAGTATGTGGTGCTCTGGAATCTAGACTTCAACATCTTCTGTTTTAAAAAATGTAAAATGCCTTCTTCATTATTACTTGGTTGATTTAATTTACTAATTATGGTAAATAAAAAAATGTACTCGCCTGTCAATAAGCTGCATCCTTCCCTTCCCCCCAAAAAAGATGCTTATATTTGAGTGAGACAATTGTCAAAACATACAAGATTATCTATATAGGATCTGTGGAATTTTATTTAAATACAGTTAATAAAGTACAAATTGCATTTTTCTAATTTTTTTTTTTGTTGCAAACTCTTGATTCTGTTAACATTCGCACTGCTGTAGAGAGAATCTGTAGGCCCTATTGGTTGGTGGTTGGCTTTAAGTATGGTGTAAGAAATTCAGCTTGACGAATAATTGCTTTATTAGAAAATAATATATAGTTAAAATTAAAAAAAAAAAAAAAAACTGTTTTAATGAGCAAATGGGGGGGGGGAGAAAATAACTAGTGGTCAAGAGTCGCAAATTCACTATTAAAAATTGTAGGGCAAAAGTAAAGAATTGGTTCCTAGTTAATGCTTGAGATTTTGATGAAAAGCAGGAGACAATCGGAAGGAGCCCTTTAAGAAAACTGGGCATAGGTAATTTACAGGCTCTTTTATTTATGTATATATGTATATGTATATATGTGTATATATATATGTATATATATATATGTGTGTGTAGTGAGGATAACTTGACAGTTCTTGTGAGTTTGTAGTTTTAAATCCATTGTAATATGTTAAACAACTGTCCTTATTAGTATAGTGGTTAGTGCTTCTGGCTGCTGTATTGTTAAGCTTTGATTCGAATCCAGAGAAGGTAAATATTTGTATTGTGACTGTGCAGAGTAGAGATACTTGAAATACAAGGCGAGCTGAAAGTCCTCATCTGTATAATTAACAGTGAATTTACGATGTCCTGTCTTAAATTATACATCTAATGCACTAAACATATACAATAAAAAATAGCATATACTTATAAAATCATTTGTAATATGCATGACACAAATTATGAAGAGAAAAAATATCTTGCATGTAGCCTGGGAAATAATTGCAGTAATGCTGTAAATGTTAATAATTATCAGCTAGATTTATAAGTTTAATATTTTATAACTAGATTATTAAAGATTTAACTAATTGTTCGTTTCATCAGTTTTAATTTGAAAGATAAGTAGATGAACTTGTATCACCTTGCATGTTAGTGTTCTGCCATGTCACACAGAACATCACCTAAAAGATTTTGCATCAAAGAATGCACTTACCAAGTTATATGGATAATTGCATACTAGCATAATGTAATGGTATAAAAATTTAGAAAAATGTTTCTGGCAGTATTTAAATAGATCTATTGTAAGAGGAAAATGTAAGTAACTACAAAATAGGCATGAGTAAATTAATGTGTCTTAATTGATCTCTATGCCAGCAGTATTTTAAACAACTATTACCAAATTTTTTAAAGATTAAAAATATGAATTTCTCAATATTTATGCTAAATTTTGTATTGCAATTTCTAATTTTATTTTTTTGGTTGTTTATATAGCTACAACACTTGAAAGAGAACTACATAAATAAGAGTGTTCAAGAATATGTAGATGAAGCAAAAGTTAAAGCAACTTGGATATGGGAAGAACTGAATAAAGAACCTGCTGCAGCTGAAGAGACTGCAAAGGTATGAAAATTCATGTTATTTTGCATACCGTGTTTGCAATTTAAAATTGCTGTCATATGCCAACAAATATTCAGTTCCTGGCTTGAATTTTGTTTCTAGAGTCTGGAGCAGAGGATGCTGTCATTGGCCAGGAGAATGACATCTGTACTTGTACATGCTTACAATGTCACTGCAGTTCCCATTTCTGCACTACCCAAGACGTACCAGGAAGGATTTCAAACTGCACACAGATATGCCACAGAACTCTTTTCTCAGTTTGATCAGGTATTTTATCTAGCATAAACTAAATTTGAATATAACAAACTGATGCAAGTCATAAACAAATTGTCTTAATGTTATGCTTGTAATAATTTACTTTTATTTAAATTGTATTAAACTTATTTTCCTGCTTTTCTAAAATTGTCTGCATAGGTTTTGAAAATGATTAAAATTTTGTTTAACTAAGAACTTTTAAAATTATTTTGAAATGAGACATATTTATAAAAAAATCAAATGCGAGACCCTAGTGCAAATATTTCAGTGTATTGGAATTAAATGATTTAATTTAAACAAATTTAAGTTTAAAATAACTTTCTAATAATGAAAATGGACTGGAAGTAACTGTATTGACGATAATACCTGGGTAGAGTTCTTTTCAAATCGATGCTGCTATTACATTTCCAATACTTTTTCATAAGCTGCTGCAGCTGAAGAGACTGCTGTTTTCATTATATTTCTCATTTATATAAATTTGCTTCCCTTAATAATGTTTATAGATTAAAAATTTTCAAATTATTAGTTTTACTGAATAAACTAAGGAATTTTGCATGTAGTATGTAGTTATATTAGTATAGTTAGAAGGTATTTTTAACTTTTAAATCAAAGGTACAATTTAACAAGTTTTCGGTAAAAATTAATTTAAAGAATTTCACCATACGCAGAACCTTTCAGTATGAATTCAAGGAATTTTAGCATTTTTTAAAAGTAAATCCTAGAGATTTTTAAAAAATACTTTTTGAAGAGTTTAAAATAAAATTATGTAAAAAGAAAACAGAATTGTTAAAATAATAAATCAATTGGGTAAAAAATTAATTGGTAAAGTTTAATCTGTGTCGAACTAGTTTTATTTCTTAAAAATATTTTCAGACATGTATTGCAGAAAATACATACTGATTGTATTATATTTTTGACATGTTTGAAAAGTTTATTTGTAATAAATATTTAATTTTGTTTTATAGGCAACAAATGCTGGTGATGTGACTGTTCTAATGCTTCAAGGAATTCGGGAAAAACTCTCGGCCCTTCAAACTGTTATCCACGGTCTTTCTTCTCAAACTGAACAGATTGAAATGGCACGTATTTCCTGTCATAACTATTGCTCTTTTATGCATAAACTAATTTCAGAAATATGTTTTTTGGGTATAACATTGTTATAGCAATCTCGGAGATTAAATTGCCAATCAATCGAGATACCTCGCCAAAATCTGGCTGTGTGTTCTTATACCTTGCTACATGATTGTATATTAGCACCAGCTGTGTGTTCTTATAAACTCTCCACCTAATCATAAATTGGTACTGTGTTGCATTTTTGCTTTTAACAGCAGTCCTTATTATTCATTTTTGTGAGGTTTTAGAGTTCGCATTTATTTAAAAATATATTCATTGTTTTTCTTTTAAGAATATGATAACAATCTTTATACCGAATAATAAGTTGAGTGCCATATAATTTTTTCAAGAGGTCTTTATCTGACAAACTGCAAAGATGGCCAAAATGTTAAATTATTCATCATTGCTTTTAGATTTTTTATTCTTGGGCAGAGAAGTTGATGTTCATGAAATGGTGTAACAAACACCTTAATAGGTGTAAAGGTGCTGCATTTCACTGGAACAATTGCATGCAATCTAGGAAAACGTGCTACTTTGGAGATATGATGGTATGTTATGTATGGAATCGTTAACTGGTATTCACTAGTTAGGAATAATAATTTTGTGAAACGTAACCAACAAATGTTCTTAACTTAGTGGCATTATTTAAAAAAAAAAGTAAGCTGTAACAAATTCATACCTATATTTAAATTTTTAATAATTCTTAAATAATTGCATATTTCTGCTTTTAAATGTAAACATCTATTTTGATTACTACTTAAAAACTGCAATATGTATGTAGATAATATGCATGCTGTTCATAAAATCTTAAGTCCATTTTTGTATAGCCTTGATAAAACATTACTTGCTAATTGAACTTCAAATTCATTACAGCCTGCTGTTAATTTTTTAATTAGGCCACTTTCTAACAGCAATATACAACACGCTATGTCTGTCGCATTTGGGACAGTAACAAATGGCATAGGGTGTCTATAAATTAGTTGCACAATTTCATAAGTTGATAACTTCCAAAATGGTATATGAAATTAACCAATTTAAACTTTAACTAGCAGTAATATTTCCAAAGTTTATTCGTAAATGGCATTAGGTGTCATAACTGACGCTGTCTTTTAGCATGCGCTTTTCAATGTTCGGCATTGCAATAACCGAAACGTACTGCGGTGCTGGAAAAGCAAAATGCTGTCTTTGGTTACATGAAACTTATTCTGATGTGCAAGTGAGACTAAATTGTGTTCAAGAATACAAGAAAAGAGATGCTATTATGGCCTGGTATTGTTGACTTACAGAAACAGGATGTGTGGCTCATCGGCTGAAGGCCAACCGGCAGTTTCAGAAGAGACTGTTGATGTAATGAGAGAAACATTTATGAGAAGTCCTACAAAATCCACATCACGAGTTAATTTGGAGCTGGGAATTCCAAAATCATATTTCTCTCTATCTTACAACAATATGTACTTTAAAAATAACCAAGCCAATTTTTCTTTTAAAAAGTCTTCCCTTAAACAGAACCCTTGTCCATATTGCCATATTTGATCAAATATTTTTGTTTCTGGTAGCACATTTGGAATAAATATTCATTGCTATAGAATGCAGATTTCTGGCATTTTTTTAAGACCCCCTATATCATAAGTATCATAAAGGATGTAAAGGAATCATCTGTATATATTTTATATAGCTAGTTTTTAAGCTTAATTTCTATAATGCTGAAAATTTTGGTGATACCAAGGTTTACTTGTTTTATTTATTTTTTAAACAGCAAGACCTTGGATCTTCTGAAAAATCTGAAGATGTTAAAGAGCAGGAATCTGAAAGTGTTAAAGAGCAGAAGTCTGAAGCTGGATCTTCTCACTAATGCTAACATTTACTTTTGTAATTTTTGTATTAATTAAATGTTTCTAATGTTCATGCACAGTTTTGTTTTGTCTTTATAGGTATCTTTTGGCAGTATTTTATTACAAAATAAATCTGCTTTATATTTTGAAAATATGGTTTTCATTGCTTAAAATAGTTTTAAACATGTTCAGTCAAATTTTTATAAAACATTTTATATTGAGTTATGTGCTAATATATATAGTTGTAAACTTTCACCTTAAAAATTTAAAAAAATGGTTACTAAAATTGAGAGTATTTCTAGAATTAAGTTCAAATTCTTTAACTATCAACATCTGATGCATTTGAAAGTTTTGTAATGTGACTATAATATATTTGTCGCACAATTTTATTTAAATATATTTTCAGATAAATATTTCGTTCCTAACTAAACTTTGGTAGGTTCAAACTGGACTGCAAATATCGATATCAAGTTTGAATTACTTAAAATTATCAGATGAAATAGAGAAGTTTTGGCAAAGGAAAGTTGTCAATTGTCGCTAATTCCCTGCTGAAAACCTCTCGTATGGTTTGTCGTAACTCGTTGGTGTTAAATTGGCAGGCTCTGAAGCAATTTTATGTGGCATGAGACTACATTTATGTACTTGTTGTAAATGTGGTTCTAAGAGTTTGCGGAAGGATAAGGTTATGGACAAAACTGTAAACTTGACCTTGAACGGGCTCAGAATCCTAGTTTGTTATGCCACTTGGAGAAATAGAGTACAGAGAAGTTATTTAATATTATGATATGATAGTGACATTGAGAAGCTGTGTTTAAACAATTTAATAAATGAAATCAATATTTTTATGACAAAATAAACACATGAAAATCAGATTTAATATTTCTTGACTTAACTGGAAATTTAAATATCCTGAAAGAGCTGCAAGGAAGAAACAATTTTATCATCGACATATGTTGTATTAAATATGTTAAATTGAAATTGTGCGAAACACAATATTTGATGTTTCTTCCTGCATATTAAAACTTCCTATTCAATTGGAAATCCTCAAATATGCAACGAAATTAGCATTCTTTTGATAAAAATTAAAACAGATGCAATGATTTTAATGCTATATTTTTATTAACGAATGTAAATAATGTACCAGAAAATCTACAGACCTAGCTAATTTATCATTTATCATTGTAATACAAAACTTGTTTAAGAATTTAAAGTTGCAAATTAAAATTTTTTTCACACTTGTCAAAAGCTAAATATATAGTTATGAATTTTTGCAAGAAGATAATCGCATTGGAAGCAAATTTATATGAAGTGGTGTTCCAGTTAAAATGAATAAATCTGAAAAAAGAACCGGATTGACGGACTAAAATCTACAATCTGAAGTAAAGATGGAAATTTTTCTCCAAGGCTATAAAATCTATATTTTAAATTAACCGATGCATTTTGTAGCAGCAAAAATCAGTGTAGTATTTCTAAATTTGTCAGACTAGTTTTGAAGGTTTAAATATAGAAACTGTCTTCAGCTGCATGAATGCAAATGTTGAATCTGAAAAATCTTTCAGTTCTAGTCTATCTCAACTCCAGTCTAATTTTTTACGGATAGATGGCGCTAGTAGCTTGGCCTCCTTTCTTTCAATCTTATCACTGGCTTCTCGTTGGTCATTTGCACTTCTGCAGCTCAAGAAAGGAAGTTCTATGTTTGAAAATTCGAAACTAGTCCTGCAAATTTAGGAATATTTCACTGATTCTTGTTGCTTTGACTCCTCCAATAATAATTATTCAGCATGTTATTTTACAAAATTTTTCAGAATTGAAATGGAACCAAGTGTCAAACCTGTAGTAAGAATAACGTTTATATAAAAGTATATTTATTTTTTCTGCATGTGTCTTAAGAAAAATAATGAAGAGACTGAACATTATTTACTCTGAAGTTCTGCCCTATCACTATTATATAAACTTCTTGCAATCTCCATTTTAACTTAGCACAATATAGAAATTGCCCATAAAATGCATGTTTTTTTAGTCATTATGTTTCAGTATTACCATTATTTATAAAGCTTGATTCATTTTATACCAATGTAGAGAAAGTCAATGTCAATTTCATACCAATGTCCAAAAAAAAAAAAAAAAAAAAAAAATCTAGAGAAAGGATAAGTGTTATATATGAAAAATCGGAAAAGGATGGAAAAATAAGTATGAAATACTCTATAAAAATTTGATTTTTCCGGAGAATTTTGAATTTTAACGATACCTTTGTTCACTTTGGAACTGTACAGATCTTAAAAATAACCTTCAGTTAAAATTGTCTTTAAGAATGCTTTAATCTTAACATAGGTTAAAGCATTCTTGGACCTATGCTTTAACATAGGTCCATAAAAGTAAGAATACAGTAAAGTTCAACTATCCAGAGAGCTTGGGAAATGCTGAATTCCATATACATGAAAATTCTGGATAATTGAGCATATAAAAATTACAATTTATGATTGAAAAGCTAAGCGAATGGGAGGCCTACCAACGGCTGAGCGGTAAATTCGCTGAACACTGTTCGTTCGGTACGAAATTCAAGTCCCATAAACGGGCTGGCTGCATGGGCGTTTTCGTGGTTTTCTCCATGTGTAACGTGTATACGAGCCAGTTTCCCTTAGAAAGTCCTCCACGAAGGCATCCCTCCCTTTGGACAGATAGCCCTCGTGTGCTTTGCCATAATTGAATAATCCTAATCCTAAGCGAATTGGAAAAGAAATCTGATCTAAAATTATGAAAAGTCATTTTATTTGTTATCAACTTGGATACCAAATGCCTACATTTTAATTATGTGAGACTTAAAAAGAAAAAGCGACATTTCAGACAGACAGCAAAGTAAATTATCATATTTGATTATAAACTGTCAACCATAAAAACTGGTGGAGATCTTGCCAAGCCTGTGCCAGTCATTCCGGTGAAGAGACATATCTAGTTGCATTATAACTTTTGCCACCTGGGGTGGTCCCTGAACTTCTCTTCTTCATATACAAACTTTAAAAAATGCCAGAATGACACTTAGGAAAATAAATTAAAACTACATTTATTTCTGAAGATAAATTTTAATTTGACCATTTTTAAACTATATTCTTTTGCTTTTTTCCCCATGCTATTGCAAATGCCTATTGCTGTTAGCAGAGAAGAATTTTTTAAATACAAAATATACATTCATAGTTCTTACATTGTTTAAATGACTTATTTAGAAACACTTTTTACAACAAGCAACACTTGACTAGCTGAGTTGCTGTACCACCTCTTTCTTACATGACCTAGTATTCAATTGGTGGAGCATTCTATTACTGCCAAGCCTACCCAAAACTCTTGCACACTTGAATAAGCAACACTTGAGAGAAAAGTTCACATTACTATTACGATATTTGGAACTTCTGGAAATTGTATTTTATAATACGTTGCCAAAATTAAAAAGGACTGCCTTTTAGCATTTCTGTTTTGATTTTCCATGCAATAACAAATAAAACTCTGAAATATTTCTCTTAGTGAGGAATTCTTCCTTATGAATGTCACTGTGATCATAATTTAGTTGATACTGGAAATTTGGATTCAAAAGTTTCAATGGAATAAAAAATATATGATGAGTATGTAGCTGTTAAAACTGTGATTTTTTTTAATACTCTATCTGGAGAAAAACCATTTTTCTTTCCAATTTAATTCTGTGTTATAATTTCTCACCTCAATGATCCACCTGATTAACCTTTATAAAATATTTCACACATAAAATGCCACCTTTAAAAATGTGGCCTCTGGGGTAGACTACTCCCTAACCTATGCCACTGACTAGATCACTCTTTATTTAGTCATAATCTTATACGTCACATCTCACTGTTACCCATTTTCAAATAAGTTGTACTTTTCTTGATGTGAGGATCCTATAATTTTGAAAATACTCTTAATAAATGCTGCTTTGTTGAAATCAAGTCCCAAATTTTAATCATTTTCTCAAAATATGATTTAAAAACGGACAAATGGCAGATAATTTATCTTTTTTACAAAAATTAAACCAACATATCGGGAATGAATCAGGTTTACATAAACACAAAGCATTATGCCAATGCTTATTAATCATTGGTGCTAAATCACATTGTATGATGACAGTTTTTGTTTGAACTGTAGTCCTATTCGTGTTTTATAGAAGTGTTAGAAATATCTTATTTGCTTAATTTTTCATAAAGAAAGAAGAAACCATTTTAAAACTAAAAAAAATATTCCACTTAGTTGATGCTGGATAGTCAAGCTCTTACTATGTTTGCACGATTTTTGCACTTAAATTATGTTATTTGAGCAGAATTCAGATAATCAATAATCAATGACAGTAACTCAGATAATTTCGAACAAGCAAGGTAAAATTGATATTTTATTTCATAATATATATAAATTATGTAAATATAATCAAATAATGCTGCATTATAGATATATAAATTACTTATTTACATATTATTCAGTATTCTAAATCATTTGCTTCAAAAGCTATCTTACACTGATACATATACTTTTTCAATAGGAACATAGCATTAACATGTACTTTGTACCATATTTATAACAGAGATAAATATTATACAATTCTCACAGAAATGTTCACAATATATGTTAACAATGTGAAAGTAAATTTGTATAAATTTATGGAATGTGAATAAATGTATTTAGCTGCAATAAAACGCACTAAAACATGAGCTTTAATATTCATTATCACAACCAAATTTTATTGAAAAGTTAACTACCCAAAGGGGTTGTTCTGAAAGTAATTTATTTTTTTCCAAATGGAGGACATAAGTGTATTTTCTCACAGAAACTTCACCAGGGTTCATAGCCACATTTTAGTTAAAAAAATAAGCACTTTTCAAGCACATTTTAAGAAAAAAAAATAAGCACCTGCCTAATTACATCATACACAACTGCATAACCTTAAAAATTAGACTTGTAATTTAAAATATGAGAAATGAAGTACTTATTAAGAGAGAATAAGCATTACCTCAACCATGGAAAATAATTACTTCTTTTGGTTTTTAATTTTAAATAATAGTTCAATTTACAGAACTAGTTTACAATGAGAGGAAAAAAAAACTATGAAGAACTAAACTATATTACAGGATTTAATGATGAAATTTCAGTTCAAAAT